TGCTCCACTTCCCATTAACCATTAGATCTAGTCCTGCATTTTTTTCTCGTCTGAGTCACAACTTAGAGACTGAGATGATTTTAACTTTGAATTCTGAAAAAGATACCATTTTTCATTCAACTTTTCTACTTCCTGGCTCTGGGCCAAGAAAGCCAGCCACCTGTTCTTCATCCATTTTTATCAGCTGGAGAATAACTGAATGAGAGATGCCAGCAGTAACCTGGTCCAGAAACTTGGCGTGGGCCCCTGCTAAGGAAGCTCCAGTCAGCAGGGAAATAGTGGGACAGCTGGCAGGCAGAGATATAATCAAAGATGAAGACACAGTGACTGCCTGCTGTCATCTGGACCTTCTTTCCTTCCTAGGATGCCCTACTGGAGAAATTAAAATTTAGATATAAGGGGCCAGGAATGGTGTTGCCACTGACAAGAGCACAGAGGACTGGGAGAGAAACCAAGTCCAAGGTATCAGAAAAGAATAAACTAAAACCCTGCTGGATGAGGCCCCTGGCAAAAAAGGAAGAGAGAGAACAGAATTTAGTTTGCTACATAGGCTTTCTAACTGAAAAAGGATGGAGAACAGGGAACAGGTTCATGAAAATCTTAAGAGGTATAGGTGAATGTGAAAAGGGGACAGCTATCTAATAACCATAAAGCACAGGCAAGAGAATGGACGTGACTTCCTGCGTGGGCAGTTAGGAGAACAGCTGCAGGGGCCGGGGACCAGCTACACAGAAGTGGCGATGCTAGTCTGACGAGGTGGTTTTTACTACAGATCATCAAAAGTTGGAAGGGAAGTAGAATTCTGGTTGTGGTTTTATTTCAAACAGAACTGCACTGTGGCATGGAAGGTGGTATAAAGAGGAGGAGGCAAGTAGCACAGAGGGGACAGCATGGCTTTCTCCCCATAAGAGGTAGTGTGGGGGCAGATACCATGACTGGATGGGGTTCACTAAAGTCAAGAGGGGGGTCACACCAAGCTACCAACTCTGTTGGGACCCAGGTGCAAGATCAAGAAGGAAACTAAAAATGATCCCAAATATAATGAAGGTAGGAAGATTGTGGCATTTCTACCATTTGGGGCCTCTGTGCCTGTGTGTGTATGGCCTCTCTGCACCCGTGTGTGTGTGTAGGATTTGGATAAGGCACCCCTGTGTGACTGTCTTAAGACAATGGCTCACATCACAAGGCAGCCAGGGATGCCTAGGTAGCCGCTGATTGCGTGGCCATAGTCTCAGGGGTCTGGGGGTAGCTCAGAAATTACATCAAGCACCTGCACAGGAAGCCCTCCCTATATATGTGTCCAACATGTCCCCTCCAGTTCCCCATAAAGTTGATCACTCTTTGTCTCCCCAGACCCTGCTCCCCCGCCATTGTCACATAATCAATCATGTTTGTTCATTACTACTAATAAATAGCTAGAGGGCTGCTCACTGAGCAACAGAGTCTTGCCTTGCAAACCTGCTCTGTGACTCGTCCCTCAGCGTGTCCCCGGAGATGTGCTGGTACATGCCCGACCCAACAGAAGATGGGCAGAGTCCAAATAGGGATTCAGGGGGGAAAGATAATAGGACTGAGTATCAAATCACCAAAAATGTCCACTAGCCTTTCTGGCTTTCTAAATTAGGCACGAGGACCTCCCCTGATGGTGCAGGTGGTTGAGTGCAGCACAGTGAAGCTGTCCACAGCCTCTGCAGCACGGGTTTGATCCTGGCCAGCCAAGGACATACCCACATGGCGCAGCAGACCTCTCCTGTCTCGCCCACTGCTCCCCTCAGCAGTGTATTTCAGTTAGTCTGCCTGTTCTGTTCCCCGCTATCTCTGGTGAATTCTCTCACCCTCCCGTACATCTGTCTGGTACCCCAGTTCTTATATGCATGAATAAATAAATCTATAAATAAATAAATAAATTAGGCAGGGACTGTTTCCATAAGTGGGTTTCCTGGTTTAATGGGTCAGCAGTTGGGCAAATACCAAGTGGCTGACCTTAAGCTCTTCCCCAGCACCACTCTGCTTATCGAGAGATGACTGACATTTTTTTCCCTAGCACCACACCCCAACTCCACCAAGAAAGGGTGAAATCAAGTGCAAAGTGCTGTATGCAGAAGAGGTGGCAGCACTGAAGGGACTCTTTCAATGCAAGGTGATATTATGAAGTCTTCATTTCTCTAACTCTACGTAGGCATGCTGGTTCACAAAGAGAAGTGGTGTCTTTGTGAGCTGTTAAGTTACAAGTGGAAAACACCTGGGAATGACACTCTAAGGAAAGAGGGTAAGTCCAGGCAAACAATACAGTGGTCCCCTTATGAAAACCACCAACTGTTATTTTCCACCACAACAACATGAGGGTTGGTTTTTACTTGCAAGATGCAGCACTCACCCTAATTACTGTTTCTGACACTTAATGCAAAATGGATAAATATCTCCTTCTTAGAGACACTGCCATTCTTTAAGACACAGGAAAGGGCAGCAGAGTGCCTCGCTGACCTTCAGGACCCTTTGCTAAAGCTACCAGGAGGGTTATACACTCTGCTGCACTCATGTCTGTGTAGACACAAAACAGAGCAGTCTAAGCACGAGAACAGAAAACTATTGCTAAAACTATGTGATAAGTAAAATCCCTCCACAGGCACTGTGTCTCCCCAACAGTGTTCTCCCACCTTCCACTCCCCTACACTCACTTCAAGAAGCAACTTCTTCCTTACTCACCTGACTTGGTGAAGGTCGCAAGATGGCCAGCTAACATTATGTAACTTCCCAGCCTCCCCTGCGGACGGTGGTGGGCCTAAGGCACAAGTCTGACCAAAGAAATACCAGCAAGTCACTGAGGTGGATAAAAAAGCTAAGTCTGGCTAAAAAAGACACTCCTCCACCATTCACCCTTCTTCCTGCAATCGTGAGCCCAGAGACAGAGACGCCAAGCTTTCTTTGACCATGAGGTCACAGACATGGGATTGAGGCGGACCCAGTAAGTCCACAGAATGAGAAGCCACAGCGCAAGCACCATAGGGCACTGCTGGGTGCCTGCTCCAGCCTGTCTCTGCACGTTCCTCATTAAGTGAGGAAAGCAAGTCCCTTGTTCAAACTTCTCTCAGTTAGTCTGAACACTTTCCTAATTGACAAGAGATTCTTTTCCCTAAGGGATACTGCTATTTATGAGCCATATCTGGTAATGTGCGCCACTTACTGGGAAGACCATGAAGTCAGGCTGCAGACAAGAAAGACTGATGAGGAGATTCTGAAGAAACAACACAGAGGGACTGGTGTTTACTGATACATCATCATTTTGACATAAAGAGAAAGGCTAATGGCATTTTAAAGGCAGAAAACTGTGCACAGGACTCTTGCAGAGTCGCTCAATCTATTAACCTATGAATATTTACTAAGCCCTGTTCCGTACCCAGAGTCTCCTTCCTCCTGCTTTTGTCAATACTGGTCTTTGGATCGTCAAGATTATTCATGGTTTAAGAAAAAAAAGGGGAACCTCATCCCCAAGGATCTTCAGGTGCTGCAGCAATAGGTGTAGAGTGCAAGGGCCCAGGCTGACATACTGAGAACTCCCATTATCCCACCTGCCTGGTGAGGGAGGTGGTGACAGACTCACATCTGTGCTACTCTTTTTGAAATATCTATTGTCATCCTATGGGGCAAGAAACTTCAAAAGTTGAGCAAAACTGAGCTGAGTTTCTAGCTCACTTAATAAAACAACACAGCTAATGCTAACCATGACCCTGTGCTGCTTGATAATTATACCTAATATGCATGAATGATGGTGGCTACTTGTATACAAACAAGCCACTCCTTCAGTCTCTCTCCTCATTTTGTCAGTTTTCCAATGTCTAGAACTAGCAGCAAAATCCACAGAATTACTATTTTGGCATCATCCTGTATGCACACACGGGCACTCAGAAAAATAGAGAGACCAAAGACCCAGACCTTCTTGGGGCAAGAGAGTGCCCCTTGTTTGTGGCGTGCCCTCCCAAGGCTGTCCACTCACTGACCATCAGGGCTGAAGTCTGCCCTCCTCGACCACACATCAGGATTCTCTCAACTACTCCACTCCTCTACACCCACTTCAAAGTTGTTGAAACATCTGGGACACCTTTGTGCCAGATGGTTCAAAGTTTTAAAAAGCAAGATTTCTAGACCATATCTGCTCTGTGCTATGTGCCCAATGTTCTTCCAAGTGTTCCTTATGCATTCACTCATTTAATCTTCACAAAAGCACCCCCTGAGTCAGATACCAGCAGAATAATGATGGTCCAGCTCCAGTAAGCAGCCAGAGGCTCAGCAGGTGGCAGAGGCACAGTCTGAACCTGGACAGCCTGGCTCCAGAATCTGCGGTCCCTCCTGGACATTATCAGAACCCTGTTGCTTGTTCTCTGTCAATGCCCACAACCAGTTTCCACCCCCCTCTACCCTGTTCTGTGCCCTGCCAGGCTAGACCAGGCCGTCTTCATCACCCAGGCTCCCATGCCCTGGCTTCTGGCTGGATTTGGTCATTCGCAAGGGCTGAGAGGAGATACATGGCTGGGAGGGGCTATTTATCCCACCCCAGCCTTTCCCCCTCTCTCTGCTTATTTCACCACGGTTCTGGCCATGTCTATGGCTCCCAGGCAGCCACTCACCCATCGCTCAGCTGTCAGTGGATTCTGGCTTTGGGGTTTATCTGCACATCTGCCTTCTGCCGTCTGCTATCCAGGAGGCCTTACACATTTCTTCACATCGGCCTCATCTTTCTCCTTTCCATCCTGGAACCATGCCCTCCCTACCTGTGGATGCTCTGATACATAGATCACAGGCAATTGAGCAGAAAGAGCCCTCACTACTGGCAAAGTAGGCCACTTTTGCATACCAGGCCTAATGAGCTAGTTAGCACTTTCCTTACACCAGGTTGCTATTTAATCCTCCTCCCTCAAAACTGCCAGCCCTGATGCCCTGGTATTCAAGCCCCAGCTCAGGTCTGCCTCCCAGAGTCATAAGCAAGCCACGCAACCTCTCACCTGCCCCTCTCTCCAGGCACTGGTCCAGAGATGCACGAGGAAGAGTCCCGCCTTGGCGAGCCCTTGAAACTCTTTGGTTTTAAAGCTTCCAGGCACTCCTGAGAGCTGGCACAGCAGTGGCAAAACCACACAGCAACAGTTGCCAGGGATGTGCTGTCTTCCTGACATGCATTCAGCAGCACCAGCATGGGAAGGCTTCATTTGCACACTCGGTGTGGCTGGATCTGGGTCTTACAGATCCAGCCTGGCACCTGTCAAAATAAGAATGCACTTTAGAGGGCCTCCCTGGTGGCCCAAAGGGTTAAGCACCTCACTATGAAGCAATCCGCAGCCTCTGCAGCACGAGTTCAAGCCCCTGCCCACCAGGGAGCAACCCACATGGCGCAGCAGACCACTCTTGACTCGCCCATTGCTCCCTCCCCTCAGCAGTACATTTCAGTCAATCTGCCTGTTCTGTTCCCTACTCTGTCTCTGGTGAATCCTCTCACCCCCTGTATCTCTGGCCTGTAACCCAGCTCTTCTTGTATGCATAAATAAGTAAATCTTTGAAAAATAAAAACAAGAATGCACTTTAGAGTAGCTGAGAGGAATCTGAGAAGGGGGCCCTAGTTGGAATAGACACTGGCACACGTGGCTTTCAACTCACATAGCAACCTTTTTCCTATGGATCAGGAAATCAGAAGAGCAACAAAATTTGCTGAAGATGTGCAATGTACCTGGCAAAGGACTTTGGATTTTCGTGCATTATCTCACTGTGTCCTTATAGCAGTCCTGCAAGGTCAGCATTTGTTTATCCTTTTATAAATGATAAAATGAAGACTCAGAAATATTAAATAATTTACTAAAGGTCAGGTAAGTTTTGAAAGTGAGAATGCAAATCTGAACCTGGATCTATTCCACTATGTCTTAGAAACCCAAAAGATGGGTGCCTCCCTGGCGGCACAGGGGTTAAGTCTCAGCGCTATGACCACTCCAGCCTAACCCACATGGTGCAGCAGACCTCTCCTGTCTCGCCCGCTGCTCCCCCCAGCAGTGTATTTCAGTAGATTTACCTATTCTGCTCCCCACTGTCTCCGGTGAATCCTCCACCTCCCACACCTCTGACCTACACCCCAGTTCTTCTCTGCATAAATAAATCAATCTTTAAAAAAACAAAGATACCAAAAAGATGAAAGTGACTACAGAGAACATACATAAAATATGAAAACTGACATGTATTTTCAAAAGTTCACAACTGCTTCAGCTGAATGCCAAAAGAAAGATACAAATCTGTCTCCAGAATCCAGCCTGGACCTTTCGGAGTCCATCAGGATAGGTTGTACTGAATGGACTTTCTTCAGACAGAAACCGGGAGCCCTCTTCCTGGTGGTTTCTGGAAACCCCAAGGACACTGTGTCACCACCTGAAGTTAGTGCTGTTGTTATCCTCTCCAGACAGACAGCAGGGCCGGGACACTCTGAGGCAATCAGGACAGACATCCCTCTATCACAGAAAAAGGGTGGCGAATGTGGAGTTTCACCAAGACACATCTGAACACCAAGAAGAAAGCTTTGTAATGCTTGTGTGCATTCTGCTTCTCCCATTTTAGAAATAAATCTAGTTGTAGATAGTAAAATTAGTGTGATGCCCCTGAAATCCCAGCACCCCACTCCTAGGTATACTGCCTAAAGAAATCCTTGCCCAGGAAAAAGAATAACTATAAGAAAGAAATATCAAAAATCAACAAACAACTATGAACCAGAGACACTCCATGGGAGGTGGGGGGTGGGGAAAGAAGGGATTGGGGTCAAAATAAGGGGGTTGTAATTGTATGGGGAAAATAAAAATAAAATTAAAAAAAAAAAAGAAAAAGAAAAAGAAATCCTTGCCCAGGATCAAGGATGCTCATCAGAGCCCTATTTGTGGAAGCAGGAAACTGGTTTGTTCATCATTAGGGAGATGGAGAAATAAAACATGGACTCAAACCATGGGATGCTCTGCTGACAGGAGAAGCAATGAACAAGACGCTGAGCATGACAAGAGACCATGACCACGACCACATCTCAAGGAGTTAGTCTGAGTGATGAAAGTAAAAACCAGAATAAAGGTTGTAGTGCAATACCTATGTCCCAACTTGAAAACTATACACATGTTCTATTCTCTGAGAATCCATACCTATTCAAGAATATGCCTCTGACCCTTTTGGAAGTGTATCAAGGAGGTACGGGGCCATGAGTAAAGAACAGAAGTGAAGATAAGGCATAAGGGAAGAAATGAAAATAAAAGGAGAGACAATGGTGGTGAGAGTGTGTCATGGATGGAGAAGAAAGCCAATCTGAACTCTGGGAACTGAGGTCCAAACGAATAAAGTGTGGATTGTATGGAGAGGGGTAAGGGGCCTAGTAAAAGGGATAACAGAAGACATGCAGTGAACCACAATGCAGTCCATCAAGATCTGAAAACTGGGCTTGGCTGGCCTGATGTGGAAGAGAATGACATTCTTTCCAGGAAAACTGATGTTTCACATCGCTTTTTTCCCTCTTACTGGTCAGCTGGCCATTCCCTCAATTCCACTGAAAGATCTTCATTCCTTTAGCCTAAGGCTTTGCTTCTCAAAATATAACCACCCAAATTTAATCATATATGTTAATATTCAGTAAAATGCTTATATCCTCCAATTTATCAACCCCAGAATAGGAATTTGGTCTGACAAAACAGACAGGAGAAAAGATTTCTGCACCAGAATGTTTATCACAGGATTGCTTATTATATTTTTTAAAAATGGAACCAATGGAAATGCCCAAAAATAAAAATATGAAATAAATTTGGCACAGCCATATGATGGAGTATCAAATAAATATTAAAAATGGTATTTGCAACTCATATGCTAATAGTTAATAAAAAGAACAGATAAAAATCATACAGCAAGTCTGATCAAAACGATGTGTGTGTGTGCACACCCCACACAATATTACGCGTAAAGAAAATTCTGGTAGCAAATGTTCAAAAATATTGACAGTATCTCTTCAGGTGGTGGGACTATGAGTGACTTCTTATTTTTTTAATTTCTGCAGTTCTATTTATTTCTCTATTAGTGAGCATATGTTCTTTTTTTGATGAAAACAAAACTTTTAAAAATAAGACTACGAAAATTCCACAATCCTCTAGAAAAGACAGAACTTTGTGATCCAGCTCTTGCAAAAGGTCTCCAGGAATTTCATCCATTATTTTATATCCACGGCATGTCCGTTTTAAATTTTCTAGGGAAGCAAGTTTCCTCAGGGAGGGGTGAAGACAAGGCACTGAGTGCTGAGTAGTACGGGAAAGAATGGAGAGTGGCCTTGGTAGCCTGGGATGAGACGAGAGGCAAACTCTTAATATACACCCGCTTCCCCCTACCTCAAGTGCCCCTTCTCAGAATACCTGTGAGCCTGGTACAGTGATGAGAAATCTACAGACAGGCAGGCAGCGCATTGTAGTGAAGAGGACTGGATTAGAAGGACCAAGATCTTTCCAAAAGAAAAAAGCAGTCCCTGAAGTTGGCATGTTAGCTGACTGGCACTCACAGGTAGGCCCTGGCATTCTTTAGTTAACAGCTGTGCAGAACATGAACATTGGACGAGATCACTCTTGTCAAAGACATGGAGACCTCTCAAAAAATGAGTGCATCTTCATCAATTTCAGCTTTAGCTTCACTCCATTCCTCCCACCTCTTAAATAAAAATTAAGATGCCAAATGTAGACTTGCCCTGCTTCCTTCCAGCATTCAATTCCAAGGCTTCTTTGAAGGCTTCCCCCAGGTCCAAGCTGTAACAACGCCCCGTCCTATAGCAATGCCCCATCAATCACCGTGGTTGAGAGGACAGCTGAGCGCCATGACCCCAACGGGTTCCACCACAGGTGTGCAGTGTTGGGCTCTGGCTGGTGAACATCGACATCTGATTTGCTCTCTTTGTTCTGCCACTTAGCAGACATGTGTTCTTGGACAGGCCAATTGTCCTGATTGAGTCTCTTTTTCCTTATTCTTAAAATGGTCACAATAACACCTCTTTCTCTCCAACCTCTCCTCTCTCTCTGATTTTGGTGCCAATAAAAGTAACAGATAAAACAAAACACCAAGTCTTGGCTGAAGACAAATTCTAAAGCAGTGAACAATATGATTGTAGTGAGGCAAGCAGGAGCAGGGTGGGCAGACTCGTGGGCCAGGAGGCTGGGGGGCTTCCCAGTTCCGGGCAAATCTGTACACGCTTTTATCTCTGAGCCCTCTCTGGCATTATCTCACAGCCCTGCCTCTCGCTATAGTCACTCATCCTCCAGTGGCCACGCTCTGCCACAGACTTTCTCTGTGTGACACCACCCTTATAGCCCCAGCCTCCAGACTCAGGTGTGCACACTTATGCACCCCACACCATACTCCAGTTGTCCCTAATCAGGCATGCGTGTGCATCCTGCAGTCACAGGTGATAGCCAGAGGCCATCGGCATAAAAGGCTGACCATTTCATGGAGGCCACAATGATGCAGTTTGTCAGTAGCAAAAATAAACCAGTGAGACTACATCAAATGCCTGGATAACTCAAAACCATAAAGGGGATAGTTTTAACCTTAAATTCTTGATATGGTGAATATACTAAATTGAGCAGAAAAGTTTTCCCTTATTTCCAAAACAGCATGTGAAGAATGTCTTTTGCAAACGTTTGACCACTGTAACTAGTCACATGAGAAAAATTTCAGAACAATAAAGAGTTCTGAAACCAAACATGGGAGTTAATAAACTCTAGCACCTTTTGGAAAATTACCACTACTTCCACCAAATGGAACATCGATTGACTATAAATCAACTAAAGGTCATAACAATCAATTTGAAGAGGTGCATCCAATCACCTAGAGTCCTACTCTGAAGGTCTTTTATGTTAATCTCCACCCCCGCTTTTTCTACCAGCCTTCTCCACCAAGCTTACAAACCCAAATGTCAAAACCCAGAGACAGTTTCTCAGCAATCCCACACTTAGCAATCAACGAAGCAAAATGACCAGTCAGCACTACTCCAGATGTAAACATAATGCAAGGCGTGAACTGCGAAGAGCTTGTCCCAGGGAAGAAGCACAAGCCAGGCTCTTAGCTGTGAGGAACAGAAAATTCAACTCTCAAAGGGCTGAAGAGAAGGAGGAGGGTGTTTTTATCCCTTAACAAGAAATCTAGTAGTAAGTGATAACAGATACATTTAACAACGCAACACAGCTTACACACAGGCATGCTTATGTGCATACATTCTGCAATAAAATTTTGCAGAATTTTTGATGTAACAAATATTTTGATGTAACAAATATACCACCAATGCACCCTCATATTTTCTATTCTAATTTAGCTCCATTTTACTAGGCTAGCAGTGACCACCAAACCAATTTTTATAAAATGTGCAAAATACTTGGACACTTTACAACACAAGATATACAAATGCCCAATAAGTACATGGAGAGGCAGGATGGGACAGAGCAGGATTTCTATGATCGAGCAGACAGGTTAAGGAGGAGTCCTGGAGTGGAGTCCTGGGTAGCTTTTGCAGGCTTTTGTTGGGATTTACCGAGTACATGGCAGGCAGGGGTGCTGGGAGGCCAGGAGGCTGGCAGGCTTCCCAGCCCCCAGCAAGTCTTCACTCTTTATGGCCTCTGCTTCTCTGCTGGGTCTCTTTAGCTCTGTTCTTCCTTTCACTCTGCTGGCGTCCCCATAACGCCGCCACCCTTATAAGGCCAGTCTCTCAGCCCAGGTGTACCCACTTACATAGGCCCACACCCTACTCCAGGTGCCCGCCATCAGGTATGCATTCAGGTCCACAGGGATCCATCATCAACCCTAATGGTGGGGGGGCCGAAAAGCCTGATATTTTTTTACCTTACCCTACAGTACATTAAAAATGTGATAACAAGACAGAGAAATGCAATACTGTCTAAATGGCACGCACTAGCACACACTTCAAAGACAGACAGTGTTGAGTGCTGCAGAGAAGGTGAAGCATCTGGGATGCAACAAACGTTGCTAATGAGAATGTAAAACAGCCTGCTTTGAAAAATCGCTTTGCAGCTTTTTAATTTAACTATAAACTTACCATAAGACCCAACAATTCATAATTTATACCCAAGAGAAATATATATTTTCCCACAAAGACTAGAATATGAGTATTCATGAGAGCTGTACTCATAATCTCCCCCAAAGATGGAAGCAATCATGTCCTACCCATCAAGTAATGAACGGCTGGGGCCTCCCCTGGTGGCGCAGGCAGTTGAGCACAGCACTCTGAAACTGTCCGCAGCCACTGCAGTGCGGGTTTGATTCCCGGCCCGCCAGGGAGAAACCCACATGATGCAGCAGACCTCTCCTGTCTCGCCTGCTGCTCCCCTCAGCAGGGTATTTCAGTCAGTTGGCCTCTGCTGCTCCCCACTCTGTTTCTGATGAATCCTCTCACCTTCCCGCGCCTCTGGCCTATACCCCACCTATTGTATAAATAAAAAAATAATAATAAATAAATCTTCAAAGGGACACAGGAACCTGAGGATGATAGAATATTCTATACCTTGATTATGGTGGTAGGTGCATGGGTGTCTACTTTTTTTTTTAAATACTGGATGGTAAGTGGTTTATTCTATACAACCAGCAGCGTATTATCTTGAAGGCAGTCTCATAGACAGAAACACATGGACTTTACAAACTCTTTAAGCTTACATAAGATACATCACTAAAGGCCAAGATTCTGAATTTTGCTTCCAGCAGCAATTCCTCATTTTTCCTCTTCGAGTCATATATCCCTTCAAGAAGCTGACAAAAGCTACAAACACTAACCTTCTTTAAAAATGCAACCACAGTAAAAAGAGATATGATAATTCTGAGGATAAAAAGATCTCCCTGTGAAAGAAAATATGTCCCAATAAAATTAACAATGAAAAAGCTTCCATGTCTCTGCCATGTTTTTTCACAGTAAGCAGAAATCCCCCAAATACTGGAATTAGAAAGTCTTGCTGTCTTCTGTGCCACCACACTATTTTAATCTTAGTAATAAAAGAGAAAACTAAGCCATCTTCTGAAAGGAAGAAAGTGAACACAGGCCACAATTAACCAAGCACTTCCTGTAGTCATTTTCATTTTTAAGTGAATATGAGCAAGATGATCACCTGCAGTGCTTGTTAAAAACCAGATTTTGACTTTTATATAGGGAGAACTCATGGGACATATACCTTTAAAACATTCTCCAACAAGGTTTTCTTCATCACAGCAGGTCCTGTATACCTTTGCAAATCACATCTTCACATAGAGTGAACCTCACTATATGTGTTTTGTAAATGAATAAATGCATGAGTAAATGATATACATTCCAGGGCTGAGGGGACTGAATATACTAGCCCAGAACACCAGGTTTTGGACTAGTGCTCCTTGCTGCTGGAGAATGGAGGCCAAGATTCTGAAGTTTTAGCCTCTCGTAGCAATTCTTCATTTCCCTCTTTGGGTCTATATCCCTTGGAGATGCTGACAAAAGCTACATATACTAACCCTCTTTAAAAATGCATACACATGTGCATTGGAGCAAAGAAAGTTTGTTCAATAAATGGTGCTGGGAAAACTGGGTCGCTACATGCAAAAGAATGAAGCTTGACCACTACCTCACACCATACACAAAAATCAACTCAAAATGGATTAAAGAACTAGACATGAGACCTGAAACCATAAAATACATAGAAGGAAATATAGGCGAAACACTACGGGATTTGCACATCAAAGACATCTTTACAGACACATCACCCAAAGCAGTGATAGTGAAGAGAAGATAAACAGCTGGGACTACATCAAATTAAAGAGCTTCTGCACAGCAAAAGAGACAATAACAAAAACAAAGAGAAACCCCACCAACTGGGAGAACATTTTTGCACCCAACACTAATGATAAAGGACTGATCACAAAAATCTGCAAAGAGCTGATGAGACTCAGCAACAACAAAGAAAATAATCCAGTCAAAAAATGGGCAGAAGAGCTAAAAAGAAACTTCTCTGAAGAGGAAATGAAAATGGCCAACAGACATATGAAAAAATGTTCACCATCACTTGTAATCAGGGAAATGCAAATCAAAACTACCATGAGATACCATCTCACACCAGTGAGAATGGCACATATTAAAAAAAACTAGCAACAACAAATGTTGGCGAGGATGTGGAGAAAAAGGAACTCTTGTGCACTGTTGGTGGGAGTGCAAACTGGTCCAACCACTATGGAGAGCTGTGTGGAGATTTCTGGACCTACTAAACATAGAGCTTCCATATGATCCAGCAATTCCACTCCTAGGTATTTACCCAAAGGACACAGAAACATCAATTCCAAAGAGCACCTGCACTCCTATGTTTATAGCAGCACTGTTTACAATAGCTAAGCTTTGGAAACAACCCAAATGCCCAAAAATAGATGACTGGATCAAGAAGATGTGGTACATATACACCATGGACTATTACTCAGCATTCAAAAAAGATAAACACATGCAATTTGCAGCAACATGGATGGCACTGGAAGGGATCATGCTCAGCGAAATAAGCCAAAAAGAAAAAGAAAAATACCGGATGGTCTCACTCATAGCAGGAATCTAGAAAACTTAAATAAGGACCAGGAAAATGAATATAAGAAAGTGAAAATCAAAATCAACAAAAAACTATGAACCAGAGACACTTTTTGGGGTGGGGGGCGGGAGCGGAAGGATTGGGGTCAGAATGGGGCGTTTGCAATTGTATGGGGGAATATAAAAATAAAATTTAATATTTTAAAAAAAAAAAAAAAAAAAAAAAAAAAATAAAAATGCATACACATGGGCCTCCCTGGTGGTGCAAAGGGTTAAGCACCACACTATGAAGCAATCCGCAGACTCTGCAGCACGACTTAGATCCGGCCAGGGAGCTACCCACGTGACGAGGCAGACCTCTCCTGTCTCACCAGCTGTTCCCCTCAGCAGTGTATTTCAGTCAGGCTGCCTGTTCTGTTCCCCCACTCTGTCTCTGGTGAATCCTCTCACCTCCCACACCTCTGATCTGTACCCCAGCTCTTGTATGCATAAATAAATAAAATATTCTAAAAAAAAATACACAAAAAAACCACACAATTTTACACACACTTCTGGCAGCTTTGGAATAGGACAAACACAAATTTCTACCATCTATGAATTTTTCAGGAAAAAATAAAACTGAAATAATAACTATATGCTTAAAAAGTTATCTTCAATTTCAAAAGACTAGGGTCAAAATGGGGTCCCTTGGGAAACCTTCAGGTTATGCAGGGTTTTCTGACCATTCCATGGACTCTGAGGTCTGATAGTGGAGAGTGAACTTTTGGCTTCCTTGGCGTTTTCTTTCAGGGTCTTTAAGAGCCTGTACGTGGAAAATTGCTTCCTCCTGTTCTTTTCGACAATGGTAATCTGTTGCCATGGCAATACTGGCATAGCAAACTCTGGAACTGTGGTCCTTTTGATCCTCCCCCTAAGTGAGGAACACGAAATCTTCTGTCCAGGAGTTAAGATGAGGTCCTCGATGGTGACCATGGTCCCCACAGCTTCTCAGAGGTCTCCATGATGGGTGGTTTGGGGACAGAAGGCACAGTCGCTGGCATCTGGCACCCAACCGACTTGCAGCAGAAGGTCTGGGGCGTCGTAGCCATCCAGGGGAGGACAGAGAGGCCCCCAGCGGCCGCTCTGCCCTCTAAGGGAAGGACTGTGGTCACTGTGATAGGTGACAGCCCTTGTCCTTGAGAGCGAGACGCTGGTCAAAGCAGGCCTTTGGATGGCATGCTAGTCTGCCGCCTCCCGTGCTGCCAAGGAGGATGCCATCAACTCGCTTCAGCTCCCCCAAAATGCAGGCAGTAAAAGGCTTGTTGAATGGAGTAGCCACAGATGTTCCAGTTCTTCTAAGATTTCTGGCTCCTCCAGGCCTGTTCCAGGGACTACACCAAGTTCCAAGGTTCGGGCGTGTGGGGAGGAGACGCTACATTTATCAGAACACGGAACTGTAAACTTAAAATGAATAAGCTCAACCTGGCCCCATTCAAGGGCAGTGACTTACCGTTTAAAAATACGGCATCCAGGGGCCTCCCTGGTGGCACAAGGGATTAAGCACCGCACTATGAAGCAATCCGCAGCCTCTGCAGCACGAGTTCGATCCCCGGCAGCCAGGGAGCAACCCACATGGTGCAGCAGACCCCTCCTGTCTCACCAGCTGCTCCCCTCAGCAGTGTATTTCAGTCAGTCTGCCTGTTCTGTTCCCCACTCTGTCTCTGGTGAATCCTCTCACACCCCACACCTCCGGCCTGTACCCCAGTTCTTGTATGCATAAATAAATCTTTAAAAAAAAAATGGTGTCCAGTAGGTACAGAAGCTGTCGGGGAGTTTCACAGTAAACATCTTCCCGTGAGAAGTTTCGCCGCCTGCACTTTCGCCACAAGCAGTTTGCTGTAAGCATTTTCGCCACAGAGATTTCTGCCGCGAAATTCGTCTGCTGTAAGGCAAATTTGCTTTAAAAGAGGAAAGAATAAGAAATTTTAAAAAAGGGACATTCACCAGGCCATCATGAAAGATGGCTTTTCTCACGTGTGTACATTCATGACAATCCTGTGCAAAGAACTGATTTTCTTTTTTTTTTTTAAGATTTATTTGTTGGGCCTCCCCGGTGGCGCAGCGGTTTAGCGCTGGGTTGCAAGCTGCCGGCGACCTCTGCGGCGCCGGTTCGATCCCCGGCTGCTCCCCGGCCACCGGAGGAGGGTCCCACATGGCGCGCAGACCTCTCCTGCCGCCCGCTGCTCCCCTCAGCAGTGTACTTCGGTCCTTCTGCCTGCTCTGCTCCCTGCTCTGGCTCTGGTGAATTCTCTCACCTCCCGCGCTTCTGACTGTACCCAGTGCATGTATAAACAAAACGAACGAACAAACAAACAAATAAATAAATAAAAAAACATGCCTCTATTAAAAAAAAAAAAAAAAAAGATTTATTTGTTTATGCATACAAGAGCTGGGGTACAGGCCAGAGGTCGGGGAGGGGGGTGAGAGGATTCACCAGAGACAGATCGGGGAACAGAACAGGCAGAATGACTGAAATACACTGCTGAGGGGAGCAGTGGGTGAGTCAGGAGAGGTCTGCCGCACCATGTGTGTTGCTCCCTGGCAGGGGATCGAACTCGTGCTGCAGTGGCTGCGGATAGCTTCATAGGTTGTGTCTTAACCCTTGCGCCACCAGGGAGGCCCAGAACTGATTTTCTTTTGAGGATGGCACCTGCCCCACTTGCCTTCCAAGTCTTCCCTTTGTTCATGGTACTATATTGTACTTTTCAATTTTATTTTTTGCTATTTTTCAGCGGTCAAATTTACTGAAATAAGAGAGGGTAAAACCAGATCGTATACTATTATACTAGAATATGATAATCTATCAGTTTGCAGAAAACATTTGGTTTCTTGTTTTCATCCATGGAGGTATGAAAACAGCTGTCAACTAGTTCTTTTCTCTTTTAGGGCAAAATTGCCTTAAGGACAATTGCTCAACCTGGGTTGGACTGCCAGGTTTCAGGATCGACCAGGCTTGCACAAATTTAAGTTGACCCCTAAAATGACCCTCGTTTATTCCCCTGTCCACTTATGTGCCCTGTATCAGGGCAATAACCAAACGTCTATAACTGCTTACTGCAGAGATTTCCCTAAAGAGTCAGGCTCCAGCGCGATCTAATAGAGGTGCAGAGAACAGGGATACAGAATATATATTTGATTGCTCAATCAGCTGCTGTCTTTCTCTAGGGTAGCTCTGGCTGATTTAAAATCAGGCAGGGACTGAAATGATAATCAGACTTGATTTTTCATCCCAGCTCCACTGGCAACTAATGTACAACCTTGGACAAGTCTGTTCCCCTCTCTGCACTGAGCTCCTTTCCCTGTGATGTGAGGGGCTTGTTCTTTAGACTATGTCCAAGGTCTCTCCCAGCCTGATAGGTCCTTTTCACCTCTTTGCTAAGTCCTCACAGAATAATCAACTGCAGGGTGAGATTCATCAAGGATTTTTTCATGTGGGCATCTGGCTGTGACTGGTGAGTTGGGAGGAGTGTTCTGGGATGGATGAGTCTCAGCTGGGCTCTCAGGTCAAGTTCACTACATTGAAGTTGGAATATGCATCTTGGTCAGGCATGGTTTGCTAAAAGAAGCAGAGTCCCTTATGCACTTTTCCAGCAAATGGGAAGTTTTCTAGCCACTGCAG